TCCATCTTAAAAAATAAGATATAATTGTTATAATTTACGAAAAAATGCATATCGATGTCCTTACTCTTACATTATAATACGTAAGTATTAAGGTAATGAATAATTTTTAATATATTTTCTATTATATATTCATTTCAATTATGTTAAATAATAAATTGCATATTATTACTTGAAAAGTAAAATTATAAAGAAAAATTTACAATATGGAATATCATTAATTTCAACATTTCAGTATTTTATATTAAAATAATTGAACACAAATCTTTAAATCTTTTATAAATCAATAATTATTATAATAATTATTCAACAAATTGATTCATTATTAAAATTGTAAGCAAAATATGAATATGAAACTAGAAAATCGAATTGAATTTAGAGGTTGAAATAGCCATGAGACAAATTAAAAAGGTACTCAAGTATTACAATTAATAGAATGGCTTTTTACTTATACTAGTACTTTTATGCTAAATTAAAACTATTAAAATGATTTATTTGATGTAATAATAATTATAAAATTAATTGTAAATTTTTAGCGAAGAAATTTTAATTCTATTATTATAGAACTAAATTTTCACTCTTTACTAAACAATTAAAACAATAAAAATTCATTATCAAATATCATAATTATCAAAATTATTTAAAATAAATGTTTAAAATAGAAAAGAGTAGAAAAAATTTTAAACTTTCTTTCTACATTAAGGAAAGAAAATAAAAATGGCAAGCGCGGCGAAAGTTCTCTATATATACAAGCAGTAGAAGCAAACTAAAAATCTTTTTTTCAATAATGAATAAATAACTCGGATAAGTAAATTTCTTCGACGTGCTCACAGTGACAAAATATTTACATAATAAACTCGTATTGTACTTACGAACTTAAACTAATGATATTTAATTACTCGACTTTGTCTTCGTATGTCGAGTAACAGGGTTACTCGAATTTTTCGCACACTTATCACGTTTCGAGTTAGTCAGCCCTTCAACATGATTCCTGATCATTTCTCAGTGGTGCGATAAAACAGAAACTTTTTGGAATGCGTGCGAAGGAAGGAAAAAAAGGATTATTACAGGAAAGGGAGTGGGAATATCACGAACGATCGATGCGATGGCTGTAGGGAACTCGAGTCAACGCGCCCGCGAGGGCGGGGAAAAGATGGACGATGGAGGGAGAGTGAGAGCGAGGGAGAGAGGGACCGAACCACCTCCGAGAGCCGTGTTTACATGGGCATACTTATAATGGCGGATGATGCACTTTCCTTTTTCTCTCCTACTCTCTCTCTCTCTCTCTCTCTCTCTCTCTCTCTCTCTCTCTCTCTTTTATAGACAACGTTCGTGTGCATTTTTACCGAGGGATTCTTGAAGGGAAAGATAATTCGTAAATGCGTTTCCTCCGCTTTCATTTAGATTGTAAGACTTTATGCTACTTTAATATATACTTAATAGGCATTTAATCCGTACTTAATGCGTACATGGAAGATTAATAATTAAAGTGACAGCAAACAGACGTTTTGTAGAGTAAAGTAAAAAGTATTGGAAGCAATGTATCGTATAGTGTAATTTGATATTGTTATAATTTATCCAATCATATATTACAATCATATTTCAAATAAAGAGCGAGGAAGAGAGAGATTTTTATGTTGCTTATATATTTTTGTATTTAAATTATTGAAATAATATAAAATATTTAATAAGCTATGAAAGAGGACTACAATATATATATATATATATATATATATATATCAATTCCAAAAAAAGTAGTACAAATTATTTTTAAACAGTAATTTCAAATTTAACGTTATAAAAGAATATGTACTTAAGCTTCAAGTCGAAAAATTATATATTAAGATACTCGTATAATTCATTTATTCAGTGTTTTAATAATTATGTAAATCACGTGATATAATTATCGAATTAACGTGTATAGAAGATGTAGAAGCAACGGCCAATACATGTGCATTTAAAGCACTGAATGAGTAAGGAGAGGTAGAAAACGTTAGGCAATTTGTTATCAAGAAGGTAAATTACACGTGCAGCTAAATAGCTTATTTTCTCTAGCATAATCAATTATTACTAAGCGCGACATCTCAATTGATTACACGTGCGCCTTGACGCCAAGTAAGACTGCGAGACGGCGACAAAAACAACGGGAAGAAAGGATGAAATTACGAAAGCAGAGCGACGGCGATTGTATAAGTGACATTTTTATTTATATATTCATTTTTTTTCTAAGGTCGGTCAACGGCAATGGAGGAGCCTCTTGCATAATCGAGCGTAGGTGGGCATGAAACGAGCGATTTACTCCTGGCGACTCGCGCCATTGTCTTCACCTTGCGCTCGAAGATTTTAAATCTCGAGGTAAAATACCAAGTATGCAATTTACTCGAGCACCATAGCGAACTCCATTTAATGTGATAACGTATAGTTTAGTTCGTGATCCAATGATGTTCTAATAATATTAACAAACTTGACCAAATTAATCGTGACTTTCTAAATATTCCCACCCAAAGATATCTAAAACTAACTCATAATTATGAAGAATTATGTAGAATTATGAATTATGTTAGTATTGTGAATTCATAATTATGAATGTCATAATTACGAAGAAAAATATTTTGTTTAAATTCAAGAATGTCGGCAGATTTGTTTAAAATTATATCAACATTCTATTCGACTACGAATAGAAAGTAAAATTTAAAACAAATATTAAATTTCTATCATAAGTAAAATAAAAATATATAACTTTTTACAACGCGTTTGTTACTTACTCAATTCTTCAAGTAAAAACAAGAAAAAAAAAACATTTTTCTATTTCTATTTAATATTCTCTTACAATATATGATATATTTAAGAAACAATATAATCCGTTAATTTTATTTGCTCGTGTTTTATAATTGAATACGCTAGAACATCTTTATTTACTTAAAAGGAGCATTTTTATAAAATATAAATGTACTTTGTAGCTTAAGAGTTGAATAGCTTATCAAATATTCCATTATAATACACGTAATAATATCTTACGTATATGTGTATAATTTCATGAATTTATTACGTATAAAAAAAATCATAAATTAAAATATAGCAGTTTTTGTATCATTAAAGATACTTATTGACATATTAAAATTACGAATTCAATTCATTTTCTCAAATTTAACTAGAAATCAAGCTCTATTTACATTGTGTATAAATAAATTCAATGAAAATTCATCAGTCTTTATAATGTACAATAAACATAATTCACATAAATAAAATAAATTGCATTTCACTGTTATATATAAATATCATCGAATATGATATACAGTGAAACTAAATAAAAAATAATTTTTATTTAACTTATGTATGTTTAATTATGCATTAGCCTTTTAATGTTATGCATTCGTGTGTGGGTGCGTGTGTGTGTTCTTATATTTATACATGTGTATAATCGCTTACTTGACATTAAATATATTCGTCCTTAATCGGTGATATCACCGAGCAAGCGATCTATTATTTTGGGATTCTTATGATTTCCTGCAGGTACTTGGATAACGTCGGTAGTCGGTAAACTAAATAAAACGTCGCGCGATTACTCTTATTTCTCATTTCCCGTTGTACACTTATTATTCATTTTATCAACCAATGTTTATGGCCTATGGACTGACAATTCATGGAATAATTGAAAATTTTATTATTTGATTGTAGCTATTTATGATAAAAAAAAAAAAAAATCAACATGAGCCAGTGAAATTCACATATATGTAATACACAATTTTATGTGCCAAGTTGTTCCAAAGGGTAATATATTAATGTCATTTATTTGGTATATTATTGTAAATCCCTTTATTACAAAAATATTGTCCGTATTTTATTTGTCACGTAAAGTCGTTTAAATGTTAAGATCATTTTAATGCAAAATGAATATTTATGAGTTTAGAACTCGTAAATTACTTCTGTGACTCGCTGAGATTTTCCAAACCACGAAAACAAAATTTATGTTTACGTACTTAATCAATCGAGTAAATACTGCGCAACATTCTTAACTAGAGTTTTAAAATAAATTTCACTTAATCGCACATAAATTTTATCAGTAAGTTTTTGCGATTAAAGTGTGTTGATACTATGACAATATTGAATACCTTAAGTGCCGTCCGATATAATTGATTTTCAATGGAAATTTGATAAAAAAATATAAATATAAATTATAAAGTCTTATCTGAATCATTGTGTGATCTCAAGTTACAAGGCTTTGTTAAATGCAATATAAGAGAATATACTGCATGATCAAATCGATTAGTTCACGTCCAATCTATAAAATATACGATTAAAGAAGGGAGAATCTTGACTTTATCGCTTCTCAGATTAAAACTTATGCAAAATTGTAAAAAAAAATATTGCTTCTTAATTGCATCGGAATTTATTAATTGTAAAACAAAATTCTTTTTACTTCCTGCATGATTTATAAACAACACATGTATTATTCGATAATTTCAAATACTATATTTTATGTATATGCCGCTGTACTATTTATAACAAAAGCCACTTCTCTTGCCGTTAATAATGTTTGATAATAATACGTTGATTTTACTTAAAAAAATGTATTAATTTATTTTCATAATGTATATTTCAGTTTGAGAATTGATTATTTTCAATAAGAAAATATAATTATGCAATCTTAAAATTGCATTGTCAAAGTTTCGTAATTTATCCAAATGCAGATACATTTCCATAAATTTGTAAAGTGCTACTTTACAAATTACAATATCTTTATAAAAGAACATTCGCCATTATGTACGACATACTTGAACCGAGCCATCATCACCCTTAATCTAAATACAAATTAACGTAAGAGACTTATAAATTAAGAATAAGACTTGAATTGCCAGCCATAAAGAAATGGACTTTGACAGGTGAAGAATGATCAAAGGTGAGAACTCGCTTAAAAGACAAAAATGTAAAAGGGACTCGAGTGGCAGTCTTTTAGTCATTCGATCGACAATAACGCGATTAAAGCCGTAAGCAATACTTACCGAGTCTTTTGGAAATCTCGCTGTTGTGCATCTTGGGATTCTCATGTGCGATCTTCTTGCGCTGTGAGCGCGACCAGACCATAAAAGCATTCATGGGCCTTTTGATGTGGTCTACCTGAATGCGCTTGCCGGAGGAGGCGACGGCCCCCAACGGACTACCGAGGCCCACGGGACCCACCATGGGCCCGACCGCGGCGCCACCTGGTGGCGAGGCACCCGACATACCCTGCATGCCGCGCAACGTCTCCTGGAACGAGCCGTCGCACATGTTGCCGCCGGCTCTGCAATCAAATCCGTTTTCATGAATTTTTTCGACCCTCCATCATTTAATGCCTTATCGTTTGTAATTCTTTCTTTTGCCCGTGGGCCTAACGATATAGATGTTGAGTGATCGCTAATTTAAGTTTCAAATTTTTTACTTTTATTGCGCAGTACATGCGCGCGCGCGCGTGTGTATTTATGAAAAGCCGAGTGTGCACTTATTGCTAGTATCATTGATATTATTTTAATTTCACGTATTCAGTTTTAATTATTTAAATAAAAAATTACAGTCTTTATTAATTTACAATGTTCTTTTACAATTAACAGTCAAATAATGCTATATTATAACATTTCAGGTGAATCTACGTTGTACGACTAATCATTACATTTAGAAATGTAATTTAAAATTATGCGACTTAATCTGAACTCACTTGTAATAAAAGCGATATTTTATAATAATGACTTTAACAATGATAATGGCCAATAATTATTATTTGTAATATCATAATTTATAAAAATAGATTATAATAATTTAACCTTACTAATATTCGGTTAACCAATGGATCATCTATAATATACTCTCTACTATACTTTCCCCTCGCCTCAACTTTATCTATACAAAGAAAACTTATGATAAACTATATTTTAATATTTTCTGAATACCCATATGAAAAACTGTATTCGTAAATCTAAAGTGACGAATTTCAATAAAGAATTATTAATTACAAACTCTAAAAATTATATAACTAATTGATAAAGAAACGATCTAATTAATTATTCTTTCGAAACCTTTCTCTAGTTCACATGTATAATTGGAATATTATTTTAACACTATAATTACAAATATTTAACTCAGGATTATAACTATGAAATTGTAGCATAATTAGTCTTCGTAATGTAATATCACAAATATATTGTCACTAGATGAATCTATTAAGCTTTCCAAGTTCCGAACGATGATACAAGTTTCGTTCACGCGATTATATTGAAAATAAAGCAGGTGATTCTATTCGGGAAACTTCCAATTCACATTTATCTCGTTTCTTGTTAGATCAAGCTGTAAGGTAATTTGCCGATGCGCTGACAATAAAAGTAAAAACGAGGACCCCTGTGTGCTCGCGTGATTTCGCACATGCACATGCAATCCCTGAGGAATTACCGAATTAAATTTCGTATTAAATTGAGTCAAGTTGTACCTGTAATGTATGTACGATATGATATTGTACGATGACTCAAGCTCAGTGCTTTTAGTATTATTTTTTGACCTCGAGTAAGCTGATCAGAAATTTCGTACCACGTACGCCTAGTTAATTAATCCCGATCTCGTCTGAATTTCGATATTTTCAAGATTAGCTTCAAGGCAATCGTTGTAAAGCACACGAGTGCATGCATATACACGTACTCGCGCCAGGATTAAAAGCTCGATGTCTGTTTCATTGTATGAACTGGCCAAAGAAAAATAGAAGAATAAGAAGAAGCCAAAGAAGTATGTGTGTGTGTGTGTGAGAGAGAGAGAGAGAGAGAGAGAGAGAGAGAGAGAGAGAGATGGGGAGAGGAGGGACCTCAAATCGAACGTCTCGAACGTCAGTGCCAGAAACGAAATATAAGCGCCTGCGAGTTCTCTATTCTCACTGTCATTGTCCCGAGGAAAATTCGAGCGATATGCCGATATCCGGCTCGTCTCTTGTCCTTTTTCCCCAGCCTGACAATGGCCTCGATCATCGTAATGACAATGCATCCGGGGACAATATGAGAGAGAGAGAGAGAGACAGAGAGAGAGAGAGAGAGAGAGAAAAGAATTTCTAAAGTCAACTTGACTGCTGATTTATCAAATTCCTTTCTACAATTTTCTAGAAAAACATATGTTGTAACGAAGGCGCGCACTAAGAAATTTTCGCCCGACGATACACGTGTTAGCGAGCCACGTATATATGCTAATGCGGCCCCAAGCCAGTTTTAAGTAAAAATAGAGAGGAGACACGTAAATATGGATGAAGGTCTTCGCAGCTTTCCCTTTTCTTCTCGCCAGAACTTCGTTTTTTCCCTTCATCGCCTGCTTTTTATAGTTGGTTTGCATAAACGTGGAACTTTAAGTTTTTCAATTTCAGATCGATTACTGATCAACCGTTAATAAAATTGCGATACTACAGCTTTGAAGCTCGTGAAAATGGCTTTTGTAATTTATGACAAAAAATTCTTTACTTAAGCTGTTTTTTTTTTCTAAATTATTTCAAATATTTTACAATACATTGTAAGCATGACTGTACGCGCCGACAATTATCTTACCTCTATTATTATTATTATCTTAAATATAAAAAAGATGAAATATAAAAATGAATCATGTATTACTGTACTGACATTACTTATTTACGGTTGTCTAGTCAGAATATCTTATTGATTTTTAGAGAATGTCATGTAAGTCAAAATTAAGGATAAAAGTTTCGTCTGCGAGAAAGCAAACCTGTAGAGTTACCGAAGTAATTATCTATTCTAATTTGTCACACGACTAATATTGAGCTAAAATGTCTGTTTACTAATATTTTTAGAACTGATGTGATAATTATTATAGCCTATGAGAAACACATGTATGACTCGTTCCAAAATCATAAATTAACTATCCTAAAAGCAAAAAAAAAGTCATTAAAATAATTAACACCGGACGTATGAAAAATTTATCTTTAAAGTGATTTACAATTTTTTAAGTATTATGTATACAATCAGAATACTTTTACCAAGAATTTATTTACTAATATACATAATTTCCGTATTAATGTTGACACTAAGGTCATTATTGCATCAAAACCATCGCAGTAAAAAAAAAGGAATACCGTTATTAAATCATGAGCACAAAGTGATTGTTTTACCTTAATTATAATTGCCTGCTTATTAAAAATATTAAAACAATTAATTAAAGCAAGTTTTATATTAATAATATTCTAATAAGAAGTTAATGTTAAAATGTGCATATGAAAATTAGTGTATGAAAAGAAGAAAAATATTAAGTTATATGATAACATTAATGTATAACGTGCAGTTAATCAACAAATATCTTAAAGTTGAAATTATTTTGTACTGTTTTCGAATGATCCGAGGTGGCCAATAATTTCTTATCAGTACTTTGCAAGCCATCATCAAATGAGAAATAACATTGCATTATATTATATTTAAATTTTATAAATGAATGTCATATTATAGCAGTCGATGACGACACTTTTATTTGTAAAGATCATCTGAAAAAAAAGGTGATATAGAACGTATTATTTTCATCCTCCCATCTTATAAAAATCGTAATATATAGATTATAAATTGTATAAAATAGCTTCTCAAAATAAATAATTATTATTTATCAATGCTTTTACCATTAATGCGAATAATTAGGCTAAAAAATCATTGATAAAGCTTGGCACTCGAAATTTCTTCAACACTAATAAAAACCCGCCGATCCCTTGCCCTGCGAGGACAAAAAGGAAAGCAGGAGAGAAGAGCCTCCGACGCGATGACTAAACCATCGTGCAGAATAAGAGGACGAGAGCTCGAGAACAGAAGGAACAGGAGAAGAATGAAAGAAAAAAGAGAGAAGTGCATTTTGGAGTAGCGGTGGGACACACGCCGTAATTGCTTATACATGTGCCGCGCGCATATCTCGCCCGCTTTTTGATTTCGAATCAAATGAATCTTATCCGTTTCTCGTATCAAAGCCATTAACCGATTCTCTCCTTTTTTCCTCTCCCGTCAGCTTCTTTTTTCAAGTCGCCCTGTCTCGCTCAGACCTCGCCCTAAAAGTCCACCCCTGCGACTCTCGAGGGCGCAAAACTTGAGGCTCTCGAACTAACGCAATTATATGGTGGCATGCGCCTTAATTCTCGTCTCTCAGCTTTTCTTGAATATAATTCGTTAAAATAAACGCGCTTAAGGGAATGGGAGAGATCTTGGTTTATTTGGCTTGGGAAAGCCGCAGAGTTCTTTTTATAAGCATTTGCGTGTTAATCATTAATATCGGTATATCGTTACAAATTGTACGACATTGTATCACACTGTCTGACACTCTGTGACACGGTGTGACACTGTGTGACACTGTGTGACATTGTATGGCATACAAGAAAAATGATTATTATTACGTCTTTTATAATTGAGAAAAAAAAGTACACTTGATAGTGTACCTTATATATACGATTTAAAGATGCATTATAACATCTTTTTGCGATTAAGCGAATGATCCTGAAAAACTCGATTTTATGCTTCTATTGGTTTTTTTTTTTTTTTTTTTTTAACCAATCGGTTCAGCTAACAGCTGATTTGACGTCTTATAACGTCTTATTAGACAAATCTCTTTTTTCTCACTATAAAACTTGTTAATATTTTTTTGTTAAAACTGATATATACAGTAGTTGTCGTCTTTCGTAGGAATCTAGAAAAATGATTGAGAGATAGAGCAAGAGATAGAGAGAGAGAGAGAGAGAGAGAGAGAGAGAGAGTTAGACGAGTGCTCGGGGAATAAGCGCGACTCCTCGGTAGTTACGATATTTCGAACATAGCAGCTCTAGGGTATAGGGAAGAGGATCCACCCCACCTTTAAGCATCATTCAGGGGGATTAACCGATATATATATATATATATATAAAAATATATATATATATATATATATATATATATATTCGAAGAGAGAGAGAGAGAGAGAGAGAGAGAGAGAAAGAGAGAGAGAGGGAGAGTCTCTGTGAAGAGATTTAGCAAAAGATGCTGGAAGTAATGGCTGTTGACAACGAAGGGGGATTAGGAAGTGCTAATTGAATGTTTAGCTTAGCCCTGCGGATTCGACATATAAAATCCTCCAATGTGGGTTCGAAGGGTAAGTGTAAAAGTTCGTTATGACAGGAAGTGTTCTTAGCGGTTTAGATGGCAAATCCATCGTTTTTTCATATAATCCATTATCTTATTGACAATTTCAATGACATTCTATCGAAGACGTGCAACTAAGATGACTTTCATCAGGTTATTTATTAGTTATTTATACCACACGCTTATATTATTTTATGCACATACTAAGTTATGAATAAATAATTGATTATAAAATTGTGTATGAAATTTCATTTTTATAAACTATAATTTAAGAGTTGAAACACGCGCGCGCGCGCGCGCACACACACACACACACACACACACACACACAAACACACACACACAAACACACACACACACACACATATATATATACACATATATATTTGTTAATTTGAGAATTATTTATCAAAGCAATGAATTGATCTTCAATTCAAATATGCCACTGCACGAATTTAGAAAAAAAAATAGAAATTAATAGTAGACCAAATTGAATTTTAATCACATCTATATACATGTATGTTCATAAAAATATCGACAAGTCTCGTGCACTAATAATCGATTGACACTCGCTTAGAACTCGATGAATAGGGTAGACCGAGAAAAGATGAGGGTGTGCGCCAGGAATTATAATGGGAAACCGCGTGATTTGTAATTGCGCCTATTCACATTTACATCTTACGGTATGAACGAGCACACATACACGCATTATATGCCGGTATATGCGTATTTCTTGAGAGTCGAGCGTTGGATCATCGGATAATTAATTTGGTACTTGCCTCTAATCGATTGTTTGTTCCGAGAAAAGCTTGATTTTCCATAACAATGCCCTTGGTTATCCATTAATCCTTTGGGATTCCCGAACGCGCTTGATGCTTTATTTGTACCATTAAATTATAAAATTAATCCTTTTAAGTAATAAAAATTATGTAGTTCAATGCAAATATTGATTTTAACGTTCAATAATAGGAAAAGTTTCGTTATTCCATGCATTATTTAGCTTGACTGGCATGTTTAGCTTAAATTTATTAATATATATTATATAAATTTATAGATAGAAATTCATTATTCGTAATAGCACAATGCGATACGAGTATTTTAATGTAATGTAAATAATGTATTTTATATTTAATGTTTAAGTAAATCATTATTATAAAAAAAAAGTAAGATATATTTTAATTAACGTTAATTGAATAATTTATATGAGGTATCATATTAAAATATTATTAAATAAAATAATATGCTTTCTTTATATTCGACTAAGTAAATTATTCTTAAATATGATAATTAAATTTATTCTCTGTTACTAATATTTTTAATAATATTATTGACGTATAATAATAATATAACATTTTAAAAATGCATTAAATATACCTTCAAATATATTATATTATTTTTATAAATGAAAAGTTCTTTTCTTACAAATATTGACAAAAAATTGGCAAATTACAATTTTTACTGTAAAATAATACACTTTGATACTTCACGCGCTAGCCCATAATACAACCTTAAAGTGTAAAATTAAAGCAAAAATTGTTAAAAATCCGATATTTAATAAAAAGATTCGCACTAAAACAATTAGGTAAATTTTCCGACGTATGTCAATCCCCATGGGAGCTAGAAAAAATATTGAGTCGTAATTCTCGCTTTTTCAAACAGGACAGGGAGATACACCGACTTATATACAAAGAGCTAAAGTGATATATATATATATATATATATATATATATATATAGAGAGAGAGAGAGAGAGAGAGAGAGAGATAGAGATAGAGATAGAGAGAGAGAGAGAGAGTGAAATAGGGGTCATCGAGCTGTTTGCTCTAGCTTTTGCTCGGATTGCCCCACGAGGAGGACGTTTGCTCCCGGTAAACAGTGCGACTTATGATAGAGAGACTAGCAACGGGCCTCGTAAATTTTCGACTGAGAGCCTTAAATGGATCGCCCTTGTGCTTTCATCAATGTATTTGGATTTTTAAAAATTTCTATCCGAAATAGAGGCGCGTAATTTTCACATGATTTTAGAGTGAAATTTTTACATAACTGTTTTAATTATATTAATATCTGAAGTCTTCTTCTTATATGAGTTTATTATTATTATTATTTGATAGATTGAACTGATTAGTAATGAAATACTTGATAATAAATTTTTGAATTTGTATAAGCTACGCGAATATTCCCGGAGGTAAATTACTAGAAATTCTTAATTATGTATTTAAATGATTTTATCAATGCTCGATATGTTTTTTATATGTGTCTAACAGATTCTCCTACCTACTTAAATTACGCTGCGTACTTATGTTTATTAAAGCAAATCTACTTGCTCTATTTAAATATCATCTAACTAATGAGTTTTCTTGAACTTAAAAATTTTTACTCTTTATTAGAATGAGTATATTGTGAAAGGAAAAAAAATTGCTCCAGTTATCTAAAGTATATTACTTATCTAATTACGCGAGTATGTTGTTAACGAGCGATTGTTATTGCTTTGAAATTAAATTTAATATAATTAAAACGGTATTAGAGAGGGAATTTTTATATGAATATTAGCATAAGAAATTGAAATAACTCTATTTTTATTTATTTTTTTTTTTTACTAGATAGCCGTCAATTATTAATGATTTATTTTCCTATTTATGTTTTCAGTCTGTTAATGAACATCAGCAAGCCCAAACATAATTTCTATTTACAAAATATTATGTATCATATATTATTCAATATGATGTGATAGTAATGATAATGATAAGCTATGGCAGATGCGCTATTTTGATTTAATATTCAAATTCAAGTAAATTTATTCAATTAGCTTGCGTTAGCTTCATTATAAGCCCGATTATCAAATTACAAATAACAATTAACAGCCCAAATTAAAATGTATGAAATAAGATGAAACGCTGAAGTATATTAAAATGTTTTATCGCAATTAAAACTTTAATTCTATTACGCGAATGAATTCATATAAAACTGCTAATACTAGGGGCAAAATTATTATACTGACATTACCAATATTTCGAAATTGCTTTTAATAACCAATAACAAATATGCACCTCTTGTTAATAACAATTCGAAGCTCCAATGAAAGCTATTGAAAAATCTTGTTCATAATGTTTGTTACTAATGTTTCTAATGCCACTTCAACTCTTCTTTTTCCTTCTTTTTTTTTTTTTTTTTATTCCCCTTCCGTCGTGCTTTTCACGCGCCGTGACTCCGGCATTCATTGCCCATAAACTACGCTCTAATTGGACACAACTCGTGGCTGTACATTTTTTACGCTTACCTGCACCAGCTTGCACCATGACGAAATTTATTTTCATTCATATTCATCGCTCGCCTTATTGCATCTTTATTACTTAAATATTTAAGGTGGTTATCTCTCAGTGCATATCTACAATTTGTAGTCTATTTAACGGTATGTTACTTAATGTTATATTATAATAAATTATTATGTAGTATTTGGATTATTACTGTAGCGTGATATGTTTTTGCATTAATGTTCACGGATGGTGACGAAACGTTCATTGAAAGTTTTACGTGCGTCCGATAAGCATTATCAAATATAAATATTATGTGACATCTTCTGCAATTATTAAATTCAGCCGCGATATAGTGGTTATTATTATTATTTATTTATTTATTTATTTATTTTTATTATTTTTTTTTTTTATTAAAGTTTTATGGAGTTTTAACATTAATGCAAACATATTAACTAGTAATAATGCCATACTGTGAGTATGTGAGGAATGTCTTATAACTTATAACTATCATAGTATTTGTCCACCCTTCCTAACGTGGCTCTAATACATTCAATAGTAATTGAACATAAAATATAATCATACTGTACATTATTTAGGCAATTCATTTACCAATATTATGATTCTTATTATCGATTGTAGATCTACGTATGGTAAATGTCAGAGGTAGGAATATGATAAAAGCCAACGGTCCTTACTTATCAGTTGCGTATAATACAACCGATATAGTGCTTGGTAAACAAATTAATGAAAGTAAATTTTTAATGCTTAGTCCGCTTTAATCTCGGACTGGCGAGAACCCACCTCATAAAGTGGCCGGCGGCCCGTTGATGCAAATCCAGCTCAATCGTGCTTCCGTGATTGAGACTCTCGTCTCTCTTCCGTTATTATAAATAATATTCCTCGCCTGCCGTGGCTTCTTCACAATTATCCGGCACTCACGAGCCTTAGCTCCTTGAAAAACCAGCCAGGCAAAACGAAGCGAATATAAATAATAAACCAAGAAAAGAGTAATCAGTTAATCCCGTGATACCGCTCACTGCACGTCGCGGCACATCCTCAGTTCCACTCTCTGGCACTCATGTCAATGACGCATACTCCGTCGCACCTACGCACGGGCGAGGAGGACAAACAAAAGCGGCCGGTCAGTGAGTTTATCAGCGTGCTAATCGCCGATTTATTATTTATGAAAGGAAGTGCGCCGCCGAGAAAACACGGAGGAGAACGCGCGAGAAGACTCCGCGCGTCACGGCCGGTAATTCGTGAGTGTACAGGAGCCCAGCGGATCCTGGTCCCAAGCTCCACTCCTTCCTCCTCTCGCTCACACCTATTCTCCTTCCCCCGTCGGCATCTCTCTCTCACTCGCTCGCTCTCACTCTCTTTCTCTCTCTCTCTCTCTCTCCCTCTGTCCCGCTGTCTCTCTGTCTCTCTGTCTCTCGCTCTCTCTAGCTCTCTCTCTCTCTCTCTCTCTTTCAATTTCTTGCAGACCGCGCGCGCAACGCCGATTACCTCACAGTGGGGGTGATCAGGGTTCGCTGGACCAATGATGGTAAAGTAGAGGGCGGGGCTTTGAATGAGGAGAAGCCACGATTCGCTAGGGCGAAACAGCGGGACGGGATGGCAAAGTTTACGAGTAGCGAGAGAGAGGGAACGGCTGGTGGAAAAGACGAGCGCACCCGTGTCTCTGTATACGGGGCTACGTATTCAAGTGCACGCGTGTCTGGGCGCGCGCGCGCGCGTGCGCGTGCGTTCGCGCGAAAGATGAGAATGAGGTAAAACTGTAGAGCGAGAGAATGCTTTCGGTAAATAAGGGGAAATTTAATTATAGTTAAGATTGCATTGTTTACGGAGGGAAATGAATATGCCGAATGAACGACGCCGCGCCACGAGCAGGAAAAATGATGGCGCTGCTGCGCGGATGTCGTGGATTATGTAATGTGTCGAAATGTTATTATTATATGAGATGTGACGTTGAGCGCCTCTTTCGGGACGGTGAGCTCCAAATGGACGCGCGCGCGCGCGCGATTCTGCAAAATACAATCACATAATAATAGAATTCCAGTTTTCAGCGAAATTTCAATGCGAAATATCGACGAGAAAGAACATGCTAAATTAATTACACATAATTAATTGTAAAATTAATTGTATGTCTTCAATGAGATTTATAATTTTACAAATTCATTAGCGCAATTTCAACGATTATTGAGACTTAATGTATCTTTCAATTAAATTACAACTTCATTATTATATGTCTGCGAAAAATAATAATCACAACGTACTTGCATTTAATTTACCCTTGTAATATTTTTATGTGAAAACTGCTTTTGGCTTTTTTCTATGAACAAATTTAAAAGGGCCAATTTAGCTCCTAGTAATAGTGCAATTTGATTTGGATGTACAGGTTAAATTGCTGATCATATAAAAGTCCGCATAAAAGGCTTAATAACTGGCCGATTCGCTTATAAATAATAAGAGAACGTGGTAAGCATTAATATATTGTGAAAGGAAAGTAGTATTTGTAAGCATTTTCTTATAATGCATCGCTACAACGACGTTTCAACGTAACACTAATGTGTCAGAAATTGTCATTATGTAAAAATGTATGGATAAAAATTGTCGGCCACACGCATATAAATTCAAAACCATTACTCCACCGAAACGGAAAAAAGAAGGAAGAAAGGCGAAGAAAGAACCGAAGGAATACAGAAGAATGAACGTAAGCCAGCGCGCCGAAGAAAAGAGCGGAATCCGTAAGAACGGCGGGCGAAGAATGGAAGGTAAGAAAGTGACTTCCACTATTGCCGCTCCTTCCCCTCGCCAACCAACCAGTCGCGCGCTGTGCATAAAGTCCGCCATTTTTCCTTTTCCATGGAGTGTGCGTGCATTTCTTATCTCCTTTTCAAGGTGAATATAAGAGGCAGTCGCAGTTCGCCAAGACATTTTCGTCGAGCTATACTCTGTACGAGTGTGTACCTTACATTGTACCTGTTTTCTCGGATTCGAGGGCAGACTGGAAAAGGAAGACATTTTATTTATTAATATTCTAAATCGTAGCACAAAATATATAAAGATCGTGGTTTGTTATTTATTTATTTTGTTGTTGTTGTTGTTGTTGTTGTTGTTGTTGTTGTTGTTGTTGTTGCTTTTATTACAAAAATTCAATATCCGCTATAAAATTATTTGTATTTGTTTGTAAAATTAAAATTGAAATTATTCATTCAACTTGATTGAACTGAGCTTTGAAAAGAAAAGAGAATGACAAAAAATTATCGTGCGAAAAATACGCTTGTTTATCGACTATCATATAAAGCCAGATTATTGAATTAATATCCTTTAATATTTACGAATGATAAATGTTTGGAGCATATTCAGTTTAAAATCTGACAATACCATACTAAACGTGAAATTACATTATAAACATAATTTTGGCTATACAACTTTAATGAATGTAAAGTTCATATTTATTTAATTACATAGGCATTGACGAGGGTTATAACAATTTACATAACATGGTATATATTCATTAGATTAATCGCATTCAATGTATGTCATTGGTAAAAGACAGTAGAAATAACTAAGTATTAGTAAATGAAGAATCGCATCAAATTAATAATCACATTTTGAAAGTAATTTATAATTATCTTACTTAATACCAGGTAATGCTCGACATTTATTCTACAAATGCTTGTCCAATACTATTGTTGACTTTATTAAATCCCGATTATACTAGAAAGAGGATCAATCGAATGCTAATTTAATACACAATATAGAATAGAGAACATATATATAGATTCTTGTAGGATGCTCAGACATTATCACCATATAAAACTTACAAACTATTAACAAATTACATTTATATCATTTACTTGTAATTCTCAGCTTCTTAATTTAAAAATACATTTTATCAAGAAAAAAGATTGCATTGAAAATAAGTTTTTCAAATCAATAACATTTATTTAATGCCAATCGATATTATGTGTATCGAAGAAATTGCAATCACTTTTAGCACGATAATTTTGTAACATAAAATTGATAGTAAAGAAACAGCAATTTTTTTTTTAGTTAAAAGTGTTCATTATGATTTTATGATTAAATTTGTAGGGATTTGTTCCCGTACATACTGATGTATATTTAATAAACTCGATAGCGTTGGATTTGAAAACAGACTTGTCGATTGTATATTTATAATAATTCCACGTACAAGTAATGATAAGCTAAGTGGCATAGAGATTCAAAATAATTTTATAAAGTTACATTATAAAAAATCCTTGTTGTTGCTATCTCGAAAGTGCCGCATTACTGTATAGCAAAAAAAAAAAAAAAAAAAAAAAAAAAAAAAAAAAAAGAAAAGAAAAGAAAAAAAGAAAAGAAGAAAAAAAAAAGAAAAAAAAAGAAAAAAAAAATCCAATTAAACGCGTACATGAATGAATCGACGAAAATTTAAATCCCAGCGGCTCGAAACAGCAATTAAATAATTACGCACATAGAGCTTTAAAGATGCACCGTGACACGTAAAATTCGGACATTCGCGACTTGTAAAATAAATGTAGCTCGCGCTTAAAAATCCGTAGTCTTGTACATTTTCGTCGTATTATGCACGGATTTTATTTAACCGCGTGAGTGAGTTCTCGGGAGCTCACACCTAACGCGCGTTATTCAATAATATCGAGTCGCCCTCGGGGAGCGAAAATGCGACGAGTCTCTCCCCTCTGTATTTTAGCCGCGGAGTGGAGAGAGCGGGAAATACCGAGGGTGGCTCCAAAGCAGGACCCGAAACAAAAACATATTGTCTGAATTAAATTGTGGAGCGGGGAGCATTAGATATTCATACGTTACAAGTTTCCAACGATGAGACTGACAACACTGGTATAAACGTGGGGTGTTTGGGCGCGGAGAAGAGCTGAAAGGGGAACGGGAGCACGTGGTATAGGAAACTGCTGAGCGAAACAGAGGAGCAAAGGAGAGATAAGTTTTCTGCCACCTAACGAGATGCTTTAAATCAACATGTACGCACTTGAGCCATTCACGACTCAGCTAATTTATAAATTCTTTAGCTAGTTCGCTATTATTTATGACGTTAATTTCAGCTTAAAATTACGTATTCTTTTTAAGAAAATTCTTCAAAAACCACATAAGCGTATTAATTTACATCCTTTCCTTCAATATCCATGATATTTATATTATGGATTAAATAAGGTGCGTTAATGTTTAAATAAAACGAATAAGTCATTCGATTGGATATTCTAATTCTAACAATGTAAAAATACAATTTCTATTGTATTAAATGAATTTATTAATGGACGTTATTGTCCCATTATGAATGAATATACCAAATCGCTCGTTCTCTACAATTTTTATATACATTCACTGTCACTTCTGCATAACTCAACACAAGCGAAATGTGTACATAATAGCGTCTCGATCGAAGATGGACTCAATCGGGGTGGACGTTGAGAAAGAAAGTCAGCCGAGGTCGATGGCAATCTTCATAGCGCCGCCTCCCAAGTTTACGCTACTCCCCGCAGAAGCTCTTTTCATTTCCTTAAGTTCAATTGCGTTAAGTGCCAGGAAATGTATGCGTTCGCGCCAACGTCTTCCTTCACGATCATCGTACGCTCGGACCACTCTACGTGGTTCACGACTACGGGCATTTCGACGTTACAGTTTCCCTCGATACTTTACGCTCGATTGTTTCATCATTGAATGTACTGGAGAGTAATGGGCACAGTATTTCAGTATTAGTAGAAAAATAATTAACGAACTAGTGGACGAACGAACGAGTAATTGCATTTTTATAAGATTTTAAAAAATACTTAAGAATTTTGCTTATTACATTATTAGCGTTGTGTATTTATAGCCATTAGCAATTTTTATGCGCAGTGGTCTAATAACTTCAATTAATCTCTCTCTCTCTCTCTCTCTCTCTCTCTCTGTGTTTTTGTGTGTTTGTGTTTGTGTTTTTGTGTTTTTGTGTTTTTGTGTTTTTGTGTTTTTGTGTGTGTGTGTACGTGTGCGCGCGTATTGAATTGCATATATTTATTTTATCTTTTTTTTCATCGTTTTTAAATGCTATTCATCATTGATATAAAATTATGCTACATATGTCAATACGATATTATTCAGTATATGTTGTATGACATTATAAAGTAATAGTAAATAGAAGAAAAAGGTAACTACATTGTAATTAAAATTATTGTATTATTAAGCAACAGTATTTGTGACAATAAATTTGTTGGAA